ATATATATACACACACACACACGTATATATGTGGCGTGTGTTACTTGTATTTCTCTCATTACCCCCTATTGTCCTACTTTGATCCTTTTCTCAACTAGTCTTTCCAGTGTGTGGGTGTTTTGTTTTGTTTTGTTTTGTTTTTGTGGGATGAGGCATGAGTATCTTACAGAAGCATAGATAAGAATTTATATGTAGGGCTGGAGAGATGGCTCAGTGGTTAAGAGCAGTGCCTTCTCTTCCAAAGGTCCTGAGTTCAAATCCCGGCAACCACGTGGTGGCTGACAACCATCTGGAATGAGGTCTGGTGCCCTCTTCTGGCCTGCAGACATACACACAGACAGAATATTGCATACATAACAAATAAATATTTAAAAAAAGAATTTATATGTAGGAGCATGGATACCTTTACTAAATTACAATACCAGTTAGGAAAAACTCCTGCAACCATTAAACTACCTATTAATCTTCAGAGACCCTGTGAGCCCCTTCCTACTTCATGACACAGGGCTGGTGTGCCCAGTCTCATGTGGGTCTGCGAGGGCAGTCGTAGGCCCTGAGAATTCGATAGTCTGATGATGTGGCAGGCCTAGAAGGCAGTCTTACAACACTCCACCCCATCCTTCTTCCTGTTCTCTGGTCTGTGATACTCTCTCAACTTTGCTATGTTTGATCTCATGACTTTGAGTATGTCCAGTTACTGCACCCACTGCAAAAAGCCTCTGCCTAAACCTGCCTGGCACTGGCACTAATCTGTGGCCATTTACGTATCATTTAGATTATTTGATGGGAATATCCTGTTCATTTTACAAAGCTGCAACTCAACTAGTCTCCCACTAGGGCCTGTGACTTCTCTAGCTATCAGCTTTTGTCCAAATATGTTGTATGTCTTCATACAAGTTATTTTCAACCTTTTTCACTTTTCAAGTTTGGTATTGCCTCTCTTTTAGCATTTCTCTGCAATGTTTTCTTTGTTGACATGTTACTTAAGGTACAGTCATCCCCTGCTGCTTTGAGTTGCTTTTTTTCTCCTTAGCATTGAGCACTGCACATGTTAACATACTTACATTTTCTTGTTCATCTGCAGGAGTCTGTCCCAACTACTTTTTTTTTTTTAAAGATTTATGTGTTTGTGTCTGTGTGTATGTAGACATGTGTTTGTCCACAGTCCCTGTCAGATCCCCTGGAGCTAGAGATAATACATTTTAATCCACCCATTGTGGGTCCTGGGGTCCAGACTCTGGTCCTCTGGTAGAACAGTTCACTGAGCCACATCTCCAGCCCTCCCAACTACAGACATAACTGAAGAATAAATACGTCTCCCTTCTGCAGGAGGAAGGTAGGTTAGAGTCGAACGTGAAGAGTGTTGCATCAAGTGTGTTGCTTTGCTTAAGAGTAAAATTTGAAGTTACGTGAACTAGTGTTACTGTCAAAGTGCATCAATTTCTCAGAGCCTTCAACCACTTCCTAACAGACATGGAGATGGGTGGGGAGGTCGGGATGAGCTGTGACAAGCACAGACAGATAAAGGATTTTGTAATTAGTTTTTAACGATTCCCAATAATGTTTCTATAAACAGTATTAGTGTTGGGCCTTCGTTAGAGAACTCTAACCTGCTTGAGGCTCCTGACTTTATGTCTGAAGTAGGGAATTGAGATGACAGGTTCATCTTGATGGGTAGTCTTCGGAAACATTTCGTCCTTAAGTGTTTAGGATTTTACAGAAGCCCACACCTAGCCTGTCTTCAAATACTTTGCACCTGACAACACTGGCTCCTCCCCAGGGCAGCTCTAACAGTCCTGGGTGCACACTCCAGCTCTTGTCATGTGCTCGCCATCTACTGGGAGGGACAGCAGGTGACCTGACTTCCCTGAGGAATTAGATCATGACAGGAACGGCAGATACATAGATGTCACTGTAAAGACCGGCTCTAGTGAGGACAGTAAGGGTCTGACTATCTGCCTCTCCACTGTCTGATCAGAGGCAGTTCTGTGTGGTCTGTCTCGAGCCAAACTTTGGAATTCATTGATCGACCAGAATACTTTATATTCTTTGTAACGAGGCCTGTTCAGGCCTTTACTGCAGTTCAGTTCTTTCTTTATAGGACTGTGCAGCGATTGCCTCTCTTTCTCCTTCAGTAATCTCAGTGCTGAGCAGATTCTAAAGCCCAAAGGTTTTGAGTATTGTCCGTAGAGATCTCTGTTTCCTTACGTTTTGGCATTCTATATAATTACATATGGAAATGGAAACTGATTGCTGCCAGATCACTAGCAAGAATAATCCCTTGAGATTGATTGCACTTGAGTGTGCAGGGCAGCGGCTATCTTCGGTGCACACCTGCGCTGGCCTGAGGACGGCTGCTCAGTGCATTTCCTAACAGAATATTACTACACTGAAGCAGCTCACATTCCTCAACACCAAGAATGCTGTCAGTGCATCTGCTCATATAGTGTGTGAACCAGGAGGACTGCGGTAGGAAAACTGTGGGAATCCAACACCTTCAAATATGTCGGCTTGTCCCAGGAATGTTGTTGCTCGGTGGATAGGCACGTATGCCGCTGTAGGATATGTATGAGGAAATTCAAGTGTATCACCCAATAGAACATTAAATAGCTATCGGAGAAGTGAGGTGAGGTGACTATGCAGTCCTGGAAAGTGAAAAGCAAGTAAGAGGGTCGAGCTCTCCACCATTCTGTTAGAAATCAGCCCCAGAGCCTTATGCGTGAGCACGCTGTGTCACTGAGCTATACCCCCAGCCTCAACTAGAAATTTTTTTAAGTTTTTATTTATTATGTATACAACATTCTGTCTCCATGTATGCCTGAAGGCCAGAAGAGGGCGCCAGATCTCATTACAGATGGTTGTGAGCCACCATGTGGTTGCTGGGAATTGAACTCAGGACCTCTGGAAGAACAGTCAGTGCTCTTAACCGCCGAGCCATCTCTCCAGCCCCTAGAATTTTTTTTTGTTTTGTTTTGTTTTTCGAGACAGGGTTTCTCTGTGGTTTTGGAGCCTGTCCTGGAACTAGCTCTTGTAGACCAGGCTGGTCTCGAACTCACAGAGATCCGCCTGCCTCTGCCTCCCAAGTGCTGGGATTAAAGGCGTGCGCCACCACATTTTTTTTTTAATTTTTTTTTGTCTTTGTTTTTGAGACAGGGTTCCTCTGTGTAGCTTTGGAATGTGTCCTAGAACTCACTCTGTAGCCCAGGCTGGCCTCAAACTCACTGAGATCCACCTGCCTCTGCCTCTCAAGTGCTGGGATTAAGAGCCGCCTGGCCCAACTAGTATTTTGAAGAGATACTTGTGTTTGGAACATCAGAAGTGTGGACTGAGACTAAATAAGTAGTTTACTTCTGGAGATGAGGAGTGGGAATAAGCTTTGGTGTTTGATCCTGTCTGAAGGATTTCTGCCATGAATAATCTTCATTTCCGTACTGACCTGTTCTCGAAGTGTGCAAGACCTAGGCAATGCTGATGGAGCTGCAGAGGAAAGGGCTTTTTTCCTCTGCAGCTTTGCTGAAGGGACTCTTCCTAGCCTTTCCCTCTTTAGGGATGGACTCATGGGCGGGGTTCCTGGACAGTAGGTTTACCTACTGGATTCATGTCTGGCCATGCCCTCTTTAGAGATGGGGAGGGGGAGGAATTCCTAGACCATAGGTTTACCTACTGGGTTCACATCTGGTCTTTTCAAGGCCAGACAGCCTTTCTTTGCTCTTGATAAATAATAGTTTCTGTTCCTCAAGTCTGGGGTTCAACAAAGATCTGTTAGTGGTAGGAGGATTATGGGAAAAAAGAACACTGGAGCAAAATGGAAGATTCATACTCAGAACAGTAGCTGTCATTTATTAAGCCTTTATTATAAACACCTCCCTGAAAGGCCCAGGATGACACCGGGACCTTTAGTTAGGACTGAGATGTGAATGCAAGAACAGCACAGCCCAAACTACCCGCTCATTAGTTCAAATCCAGCATGGCTTCCCGTTGAACCAGAGCCTTGTGAACTTGAAGCGCTCTGGCTCGTTCCTACTGCAACTGGAAACTCGGTTTTTCAAAGTTACTTTTAAAGGCCAACGACCAGCTGGGAGGGAAGGGCAGGAGAAATAACCTCTCTTTACATAGTAAGTCTCCAGACTCTCACAAAAATACGAACGTTATCACCGCTGAGAGACCTCCCCTTGCCCAGGGAAGAACACCCAACAGCTTCTCCTTGGTTTCACCATATACTCCAGAGGTACGTGTGGGGCTTGTTTTTACATTTATACAGTTTACAAAGCTTGACCCATAAATAACACTTGTAAGAGTAACAGGGTCCCAGTAACAACTATGTACATAGCCCCACCATGCATACAGAGCCTTTTATAATATTGAAAAAAAACAAACAAACCAACTTTCCGTCACTAAGCAATATAAATTGACTGTCTAAACTTATAAACCCTGATTAAAATACAAGCAACCTTCTCACCCATAAATGCTGTTTCCGGTTCCCTAATGAATCTAGCACGGCAGTGTAACAAACATCTTGCATTTCAGGGATATAAAAATATCAGCTTTAAAATCTGAACTGTACAGTATATACATTAATATTTGCACCGTTAAATTAGGAATACACTTTAAGGTCTATGAAATACTACATATAAATAGCAAGGCCTTTCGATCTGTAGCTGGAAGTAATACAATATGTTTACCTGGCTAATAAGGAAGGGCTGAAGGGGAACAAGTTCGCCTCACGCAATGGGACACGTGGTGGTGAGCTAGGTCGTCATGGTGACATGCATGCCTCACAACACGACACCACTCAGGACCTGAGCCAACCTGACTGAGTTAAGGACAAGCACTCCTGCCCACAAAGGTGGCTGTCCGGCTTCTAAAACGAACACTCTGTCCAATCACCTGGTGGCAGTTTCCGGAGAGTTCTCTTTGTGGACTGGAGACCAAAGCAGTTGTAATTTACCTGCCACTGGCACAAGACAGTGTTTTAATCTGGCGCCACCCAGGAAGGGCACCTGGAGGAGGCCACCCCTCTCTGTGTGTTAATCTGACTGTAAACAGCAGTAGGCTCTCATTTACGTAGGCCAAGGAAGCACTTCACACTATTTCAGCGAACTCTCCTAGAGTGAATAAAAGGTCCAAGTCCGGGTTAAATGGCTAACTTTTAAACAGATCCCCTCGGGGTCTACTTGGTTAAGAAATAATACAGTTTTTGCCCTTGTGTCCTTTTTTCTTCTTGGATTTAGTTGTCCTCTGGCTAAACTGTGGAGTGGGCAGTGCAGACGTTGGACTAGAAAGGTCATCTGTGTAGTAGGTGAATCTCTGCGGCCGCGGCTGAGGGATCGGTTGTCCGAGAAAATAGCCTTCTTCTTCGGAGTCGGAGGAGGACGTGGAGGACGAACCCCAGGAGTCATCATCATCCCCATAGAGGCCCAGGAACCTGTTCATTCCTGGGTTCTGCAGGGCGTAATCAGACGTGGCATGGGCATACTGGCCGTAGAGATCGGCATTCTGCAGGTACGCTTGAAGCTCCCGGGCGCCTTTGTTCTGTATGAATTTCTCATAGTTATCCGGCGTGTACAGACGAAGTCTGTCCTTGGGAGAGTACTTCCTTTCCGTGACCAGGTTCAGGGCATTGTCGGACCGCGACTTCCTGCTTCTCCGGTGGCGATGGTGGTGAGGCCTGGATCCCCTTTCTTCAAAGTGATACACGCGTCTCCGAGTCCTTTCACTCATGGGAGGCTGCCGGATTTCGACGTCATAGCTCCCGTTGTCAATGACGTCATCCGAGAACTTGACCTGCTGAGGTCTGGACTGAGACTTGGATCTTCTGAGCACTGGCAGGTGGACTGGCTTTTCCTCAGGCATGATTTTTTCCGGACATAACTCTGAATTCAGACTCTTTAAGGACTCCGCACTCCTGTGCAGCATGGAGGAGTTCAGAGTGCCCATGTTGCTCATTTTCTCACAGTCCTCAGCCTCCACCTCCTCAAAGTTCTGCAGAGAGTATAATGACGGCCTGGGCTTGCTTTCTCCGTCCACTGATGCTCCTGCAACAGAGCCCAAAACATGATGTGATTCTCACAAGTCCCAACATCCGCACAAACCTTAAATGTGGTACAGAAAAGCATCTACAAGAAAATTCCCTATTGAATCATCTGATTCAAACACACTTGGGGAAGCCTATGTGTAGTGTTTACCAACTGAGAAGTATGAACTTTGTTAATGCCACCAGGGAACCTAAAGATTGTTCTAGCACGTGCCACAGGCAGCACAGACGGAAGCTCCGAGAGCCACCCCCTTTGAATGTCAGTCAGCCCCTTCGGAGTGGACAGTTGTCTTCATCTTAGACTGGGGACAGCAGCCTGCTGTGTGCAGTCACACCAGAACACGGCTGTACTTAGGTTGTCTGGGGCTGATTCCCCCTGTGGCAGAAGCTAGCCATAAACTGAGCTGTTGAGAGCAAAGGTTTGCCAGCCCCAGGTCTGCGCCCTCGGTTAGTCATCCGACTCCAGTCTTTAAAATGCTTCACTTCTGGATCGCTCTTATTCCTAAACCAAGAGCAGTGATCTCGGTGACGATATGCCTTACTCAAGTTTCTATGAATCTAGGACAGCGAGAGACTGGTATGGGCCCCTGATCGGCTCCTGTAAGATGCTAACTCCCTACTCTGGAAAGATAGCTTGTTTATTCCCAAGGACTGTCAGTCTCTAGCATTTGACTTTTTAGTTTTCAGCACTGGGGGGGGGGGGTGTGGGTTAAACCAATGGCCTTGCACACACAAAGTGTTTCCTGTACTTCTGAGCTTCACCTCCATCCAGCCGCTGCCTTTCACGCAGTTGTACCCAGAAAGGGTGACACGTTAACCTGGCAGACAGTCTCACCCGCCATGCTTCCTCCGCTCTCCTTACAAGAGGACCCGTGTGACAGGCCAGGAACCAGGAAGGAGCAGTGTCTCACCGTTCTGCACAGACCACCGGCAGCGGAGAGCACTCGGTCCTTTTCCTGGCTTTGTTATAACACTATAAAGGACGGGCTGTTACTAGTTTGTGAACTAGGTGCAGGAGCATAGTGTTTTTGTGTCCTAAGCAAATATCCATATGAAATTCATATAACATGCTGGGTTTTTTTTTTACACCAGTCTTATCTTCATATCCTGGGTAACATCAGCCACTCAGCTGTCAAACAATTTGTTTCCTCCTATTTAAAATTAATAATATCTACTTTATACAACTCAGGGTTATTTTAGCATAAAGCATAGGATGAATAATAAGAATTTGCCTCAGAAACACTAAAGCACAATTTTATAATGAGGAAAAAAAAAAACATTTAGGTTTTTTTTTTTTTTTTTTGAGCTATCTCAACCCACAGAGCAATCCAAGGTTTTTTGTTTTTAACAGTTAAAAATTTATAACATATTCAGGCTACTTTTACTATCTTAAAATTCATATAGTATAATCTGAACACAGAATCTCTAACCCCTGATCCAGGCAAAGATAGATGTTCTTATCCAAATCAGTTTCCTCCAGGAAGTCACACTGAGTACTCACCTCACAGACACACCCGCCTAACATCCTGTGGCATTCCAATGAAACACCTTTGTTCCTCCAGAGTTTTAAATACGACGCCACCTACTGGCACTCGGTGGTAACTTGTTAACAAACCTTTCAGCGCCTGCCTTTTCAAACACCCCACAGTCCCCGGGTGACATACCTGTGATATTGGACAACGCCAAAGAATCCATAGAATCCCGGACACTTTGTTCTGGCTTCAGGTCAGACAGACACTCCAGGGAGTCTTCATACCACTGGCTTTGGTCATGGTTATACCCGGCAGCACCGTGGTCCAGATCCAACTCTTGCAGCCTGCGGCTGCTGGCAGGGCCAGGATGACTGCCATAGGCAGAGTCACCTAGCCCGTCCTGGGACTGTGCCCAATACATATCAGACTGGTACTTCTTACTGACCAGGCCCTGGTGATTTGGCTTCACCTCAGGCTTGTTTTTGACCATGCTGTCAGGCATCCAGTGCTCACTGGCTCTAATCTCCACCTCACCGGGCTGCTGCTGGAAGAGGCTTTTATCCCCGAATTTGAGGAGGAGCTGTGTCATGTAATCCTCATGTTCGGCCCATTCTTCAGGTTCTTCGGAGGCTTCCTGATCGACTCTGGCTTTCCAGAACTCCTCATTAGCAAAGCCTGCTCCCTGCCGGGAGAGACTCAAGTCGTCCAGCTTCCGAGATAGGGTGTCGTCAGCATTGCCGTTAAGACCGGGGAACTTGTAGTTCAGAGCAGGGGAGAGGAGCAGAGACTGTCTGCACTGGTCTGCGGAGCGACTGCTTCTGCCCATCCGCACGCTTCTCCTCGAGTCCCTGGATCGGGCAGACTGGAAGGCAGAGTCGGAAGAATCGGAGGCGTGCATGTCTTCGCCTAGGCTGCAGGTCTTGGAGCAATAAATCTGACCTTGCTTTGGAAGGAAGGGGCATCCCAGCAGAGAGGCCTTACACTGAGCGCAGGAAAAGCAGGCCTCTGTGGCATGCCAGTGTTGCCCGTCATAGGTCATCTGTGCATGGTCCACACCTGTGTTAAGAGACAGGAAAACACTTAGGTGCTGGGGAGAGGTGTGGACAGGAGGGAACTTGTGGGTGATGGGAACGCTCTGGGCTTTGTTTTAAGGGAAACATCTCACTATGTGGTCCAGGTCAGCTGTGAACCCGGGGTTGACTCTTGAGTTCTTGCCCCTTCCTGCCTTAGCCTCTGTGTTAGGACTCCAGATGTGCACTACATACACATCTGGCTCGATGTTGCCTTGATCTTGTCAGGTGTGGGTTACATATACGGTTCACCGTCCCTATCTGTAGATAATGTATTTGTCAACTTATCTGTTCAAAGGATTATTTGTAATCCCAGCATTGATAGCCAAAACAGGGTCATCAACAGACATGCAGATCCATTAAGATTTAAATTGAAGGACTGGAGAGATGGCTCAGAGGTTAAGAGCATTGTCTGCTCTTCCAGAGGTCCTGAGTTCAATTCCCAGCAACCACAGGGTGGCTCACAACCATCTGTAATGAGATCTGGTGCCCTCTCCTGGCAAGTGTATATATAATAAATTATACATTGTATATTTATATATCAATATATTAATACGAATATTCTAATACAATAATATTTATATTAGTATGTCAATATTTCTATATTATACACTAATACTTTTATATTAATTTATTATGTTTATTATATTATTATATGTTAATTAATTATAAATTGATTAATTAAAGAAGATTCAAATTGACCAACACATGTTCCCCACTGAGGCCATACAAAGGGACCCTTTGGATTCATTTACTGTGCTATAGTCAAGTATCCTGAGCTTCACATGTTTATTGCCATGATGTTTGCATTTCTGTGCTTTTGCTGTTGAACATGTTTGAGGCATGTAGTTGAACTTGTGCTTCTACACACATGCAGATACAAGTATTCCATCGGCTTTAACTGTGAGCCACATGCTGCTGGCTGAGAGCTGGCTGCTGCCCGTATATTTTCAATGAAAGGCTTTAACCTCAAAACACATGAAACAGATGTATTAATAGGCTGAGAAAAAAAAAAATGGTGTGACCAGGGCTTTCCTAGTATAGACAAGGTCCTGGGTTTTACCCCCTATCCCCACCAGAAAAAGGAAAATCCCCAGAGGCCCATGGGAACTTTAACTGAGCGTGCCTAGAATCAGCTCAGTGTTCGCTGCTATGAACAATCAGAACAGCCTATTCATCTGACAATCACTGACGTGCCGTGTGCTCCGATACGTGTAAATTATACCTCAATTTTCACCAGCGTTAACAAAGGAGCAAGACGGCGGATAATCACCGACGGCTGCGGCTGTATGACAGGGCATACAGGAGGTGGGCGGCAGCCACACTCACCAATATGCTCCCCACACGTTTCACAGTACTCCGCGTAGAGAGACTCGAAGCAGCCGCAGCAGAAGGGGCGGCCATCCTTCATAATGTACCTCTGCCCCCCCAGGACCGTCTCGCATTCCAGGCAGCAGAAGTGTTTCATGTGCCAGTGGCGACCCTCGGCTTCTGTGCACTCATCAGCGAAGATTATCTTTAAAAAGAAACACAGAACCGCAGAATGGAAGGTCAGTATGCAAGCAAAAACAAATAAACAAATTAGCATATGTCCAAGACAAGCCTCCACTCTGCACAGCTGACACTGGCTCTCGAACCTGAGCTCAAACACCCTGCAGCAGGTCCTGTCTTAGGGGTTCTTTGGTGGTGACATTCTTGTTGGAGGTGTCCTTTGTGGCGGCCCTCGCCCTCTAGATCATCTGGTGAAGAGTGTGTGTGGGAGGTGTTATAAAATAGCCGTGCCCTAGCAGTGGAAAAAGGCACAGACCTCATGTCTGCCCACCTGTATGACCCTGGCATCTTGGGGTACATGGTGGGCATGTACAGCGGCCTGGACAAGACCCAGGAGAGAGGAGAGGAGAAGAAAATGCAGGCAGTGAGGCAGCTAGCTGCAGAAAATGGAGAAAAAGCTCACAGCAGAGGAAATGGCATGCGGAGTACGAAGGGGTGGAACAGAAGGTTGACACACCCACAGGGTACCCAGAGGCCACCAAACCCAGCATGGAAAAGCTCTTGCTCCTGGAACTTAGCAATAAGAGGCCTATAGAGTTTGCAGGACAGGATGGAGAATGAGAAGGGCCAATGTGAGCAACTGGAAGTCCAGGCTGCTCTTGTTTGCTTCCAAAGCCTTAAACTGTAAAGCTCTGAACTTTTACAAAGAGAAGCAGAAAAAGAAAACGTTAGCTTCAATTGGAAAGGGGTCTTTGGTTTGGAAGGTCAACCTGTTCTAGTATGTTCTTTAGTTGCTCTAACTTTCTACATCTAATTTCTTGTTAAGTTAAATCCTCATCAGATCATCGATAACTTTCAACAAGTCATTCTTCTTTCCTACGTGTCTGCTTTTTGTTGGCTGGAAGAGTGTATAACTTTGTTTATTTGGTTTTTGGGGGCAGGGTTTCTCTGGGTAGCCCTGGCTGTCCTAGAACTCGCTCTGTAAATCAGGCTGGCCTCAAACTCAAGAGATCTGTGTGCCTCTGCCTCCTGAGTGTTGGGCTCAAAGGCACGCGCCACCACACCCAATGAGTGTTTGGCTTTGTTACCACAAAGGGCCTGACCCACTGACTTAGTTATAGTGTGTTTATACTCTTGGTGTTCATCATACATGTAAGAAAGAAAGAGTCAACTACAAAATATGCAGTGGTTTGTAATGTGTGTGCCTACATAGATAGCTACAGATAGACACTGGCTTCATGCGTGTTTCCATTTCACTGACAAAGACTTGCCTACAAGAATACAAACCGGCACTTTGGAGAGGGGAAACTAAAAGCTTGCTTAAACTTGGAGGTAGAAGTGATTTATTACACTTTTGTTCCCAAGGACCATTTTAGTGGCGAAATCTGACAACGCACACATTAGCAGTCAAGTCAATTGTGGTCTACGTATGTTTTAACTGAAACCAGTGTCTGTCGAGTGAACACCGAGACTGGGGATGTGTGAACAGTTGTGAAGGAAGTGTTTGTCTGATACAGAGGCCACTGTACATTAAGGACTTTAAAATCTTTATATTTCATTAAAGAAATATATGTGTGGATGTATAACCAGAAAACTTTCTGTCCCAGACTGAGGAAGACAAAGAAGACACAAGGAGGAACCCTAATTGCAGGGAACCACGTAATGTCCTTTTCCTATATGACTGCCTAAAGACCTAAAATACTCACTGATGGGGAAAAAAAAGCAAAGACAACAATCTAATCAAAGCCAATAGGTGTAGGCATGGCCCCTGCATGAATGGTGATTCTTGCTCTTGCCATATACAGCATGGCACCTGGGAGCGGGGAGAAAGGTGTATAGGGCTGTCTATAGTATCTTTTCAACCTTTTCAAAAATAAAGTCACTTTAAAACAAGTTTGGCGGGCATTGCGGTATGTATCTATTATTCCAACACTTGGAAACAGGAGGCAGGAGCATAAGGAATTCAAAGTTTTGAACTTCAACTACATAGTAAAGTAAGTTTGAGGCCTGTCTAGCCTTATGAGACCATTAAAAAAAATAAAAATCTCTATATAATAATAATAATAATGTAAGAGAAAGAAATTCCTTTTACACTGTTATCCACCTATGCTATATCCTTGACTAACTTTGGTCTGTCTTTCTAGCCTTTGCTAACTGTATACAACATGTCCATTATATCGAGTTCTTTCTTTCCTATATTTGAAAAAAAATAAAGGTTGTAGTCTACATATTCTTCTGCAGTGTTTTTCCCCCCTACATTTCATCGGAGACATCCATGGACAAGCAAAAAGCACCTGCTTGCCCCCTATTTATTGGCTACACAGAATTCCATTGTGGATGGGCAACTCTATCTTAAAAATATCCATAAAGAACAAAGCAGGAGGCACGTGTTTTGCTTAGTTGTGAACAATGGAATGTTGGCTGTTATTTTTTTCCATTATTAAGGGATGAACTTTTTTTTTTGTTTTGTTTTTTACCTCATCACAGGCTGAGCACCGAGGTTTGAGCAGTTCTGCATGGTGCCTGCCACAGTGAATTTTTCCATCCTGATAGAAATAGATGAGGTCGACCAGTAGCTCATTGCACGTGAAGCAGACAAAGCAGGACGGATGCCAGCATACTCCGGGGCCTGCGCGGGAGGCAAACACCGCGACCTCCCCTCCGTTCATCTGCAATCCACACTAAAACAAAGATTGGAAATTAAAATGACCCTTCGTTTAAGTTACTGGATTTTTAGTTTTTCCCACTTTTAAGTAAACTACAAGGGTTTTTTTGTTTTTCGTGTTTTTAGGATAGCTTTAATTTCTGTCTACTGCTGGTGATTGAACGACACCAACACCTCTACACAGGCAACTCTTCCCAGTTCTGCCCAGTGTGACTGAGCTGCCTTCTACTCTAGAGCTTTCCTAGGGGCTGAGAACCATTAGTAGCGGATCAGAATGTCTTCATTATCTATGTTTTAATACAAGGGTCCCTCCCTGCAGGACAGTGTCATTCAAACAGACTGACTCCGGTTGTCACACAGCCATGCAGGCAGTAAGTAAGAACCGGTAGGGAATTCCTTTTCTTCAGAAGTTTTTATAGGCTGTGCATCCACGCCACCCATCAGCCACCCTCCACTCACCCCTCCCACACCGCTGCCACCTGCCCTCTGCGCGCCCTAGAAGGGGCTACCTGCTCACACGCCGCATGCATCACAGCTCTGGACAAGAGCTTAATGGTTCCTCTCCCGAGCGCTTCTTTCTTCCTCTGTGCACTGAACACCTGCAGCTCCTTTTTCTCCTCTTCACTTAAAGATTGGCAGTACCGCACCTTCGCAGGAAAGAGAACAGAGGTGAGTGCTGCAGGGTGGCCGTGATGGCTCTTCCTTCCCGGAGTATCAGGACGGAAAACAGTACACCTGCCTGCCCTTCCCTGCCTCAAACCCTCAGTTATAATACGGCTCGGCTGGATGTGGTGGTGGTTCTCACCTTTAATCCCAGCACCCATGCGGCTGAGACCTGCCCACCTCCAGGAGTTCGAAGCCAGCCTGGTCTGCATGTCGAGATCCAGACCCCGTCTCAAAAAAAATAAAGTAAAATGGACCTCAATCTCTAGAAAAGGGACGCACTATCTGACAGAACGGGCGTGGCTCACTATTTTCTAAGTGTGAACTGATTGCAGTCCTTAGCAGCAAGAAAGATGCCACCGTCCACAGAAGGTTGAGACCGGGTAATTGCCACGTTCACTCCTTCCCGCTGCGTTCTGCAGGCACTCGGGTCTTCAATCCTGAACTACCTTCAAGTGCTCGTCCTGCACAGGGAAGGAAAAGCTCCCGGTAATTGGTGGGTGGCTGAAAACACTATCAAGAATAACCTGTGTGAAGAGTCCCGCTGTGATACTCTTTTCTCTATTCTAAAAAAAAGGAAGAAAAGCCTTGTGCGTAAGGTAACCTTTTAAGAAAGGCCGAAGAACTGCCTAGCCAGTGAAGAGCTGGGCTTTCGGAAAGGCCCCAGGACGCTGACTGTTTATTTTCTTCTTACTAATTAGCTTTCCTCCTGTTACTTTACCTCGTTATCATGTGGTGGCAACTGGTACAAAAGCTGTTTAATCCGGTGTTTCTCTCCGGGGCTGTTCACGTAAGGGACCTTGTCCTCCGGCAAGCAAGCAAAGTAAAGCTGGATCTGTGGGGGCAGCACAGGATAGATACCATCAATACACAAAAGGAAGGCCTTCACCTCTCCCTCCTTTGGGGGGGGGTCTGCCCCCCTGCAGCTAATGAGGGGACCAGCTGAGCCAACTCAGCAGCGGTGCAAACCTGCATCTGCTAGCATCAACTAGCATCCAGCTGCTAAATTGCTCCTCAGGAATGCAATTTGCAGTGACAATTAAGGACATCATAAATTACGTGCTATCAAACGCACTCATTTATGGTTCCTGTTCCCCAGTCTTACAAAGGTCAGCCGAGGGATCAAGAGAGAGTCCTAGGTGAATTCTTGGAGATTCTGTGACAAATATCCAAGATCCGGCCTCTAAACAGACAGACTCAATTTTCTCTCTAAATTCTACGATTCTCTCTGCTATCCGCTTTACAGGGTTTGGATGGGTGTTATCTGCAGTACGCAGCATGCTGAGCTGGTCTCAGCTCACTTTGAAAGGGGACATCATTTTCATGTCTCTATTGTCTTTTAGGAAATCCCTTGGTGAAGGCCACAAAGGATGCTGCAATGCTGAGGTGGAATCAAAGGGATTCAAGTAGAAGACCTAAAGGACCTGGGGGCCATCTGCTAGCAGTGGTTCAACAAACACCATCTAGGATGTAAGGGAGTCTCTCAAAATTCCACTTCCCCAACGGCTATGCCAGCACACCTTTGCTTCCTGTGTGGGCTCTAGAAGCTTTTCTGATACCTTACTATTACTAGTCGCTACTTATACACTGGGTCTTGAATGTATAACGATGCCTTATCTAACTCAAAGGGGTTCCCTCCCACCTTCCAAGAAAGGTAACTCGACAACCAGACGCGAGACTGCGGTCTTCTATTCTGAAGGACAACTTTGCTTGCCTAAGACCCACCAACAATTTGTGATATCATCATCATAAGGATACTGGGAAATGAAAATAGGCAGACACTGTCCCCATCATCCCCAAACAGCGACGCAAAGGAAGCACCATGCAGGTGCTTTCCCAGTGTCCGCTGCACTCATGGAAGGCCAGACTTAGTGGCAACATTGCATCCCTCTTCCACATAGGAGAACTGCATAGAACTGGCCAGGAGGTGGCCCTTTTATTTCCTTCTGTTTCTACTGAAGTTCTGAGATATATAAGAGCCAGGCATACGGGCACACGCCTTTCTTTTCAGCACTTGGAAGGCAGAGGAAGGCAGATCTCTGCAAGTTGGAGGCCAGCCAGGACTACACAGGGAGACCCTGTTTCAAAAGACACACCCTGCCCCTGCTCCCCTGACCATCAAAAAGAAAAAAACCAAAAACCCCAAACCATCTAAGTCAGGTAAGTTCCTCTTCCTCCCTGAAGAGGGACTCACAAGAACACTAAGAAGCACACCCGTGGTACCCGGCATTTTATTAATTACAGCAGGAGCTGAGTGCGGCCGTTGGGCCACAGGATCCACGAGTGGGAAGACAGGAAGCTTCGACTAAGAAGCCAAAGAGAACCTTAAAAAGCAAACCCAGCTGAGGGAGAGTGAAGATCCACACTTGCAAAACAGTGGAAGTTCCTGGAAAGCCAATCAAAGAGTGGGCTTCTTACTTGCTCAGGCCTGAGGCCTGGTGGGACCCAGGCATACTCTTCCAGCGCGCAGCCAGAATCGTCGTCTGACGTGGAACTTCTCTGGCACCCGAAGGCCAGTTTGCTCATTTTGGGCTCCATCTCCAAAGGCATAATAATGAGGTTCAAAGCCTGGCTTCTCCGTCACAGGACATTCACCAGTGGCTGCTGTGGATGACACAGGAGAAACGAATGTAAAACCTCCACTCTCCCGAGAGCGTCGACTTAATATCTGTGTCCATGTTGATGCGCCCAGAGAAAGGGATCAAATGCCTGGAGTCACCTGCTAGCCCCAGTACCACTCAAACAATTAGGAAGTGATCCTCCTTAACCAGCTCAGGATCAAAGAAGAAAGGCCACCATGCTAGAGTTCTGGGTCGCCTTTAACAGGTGATTCCTGTTCGTGATTTATTTGGCAAGTACTCAAGGAAACCGCTCTGTGCACTACTTTCCCCACAGGTGAAATCCTGTGCGGTCCTCAGAGTTTAGAAGACAGGAACTGGGCTCTCTGCCTCACCCACCATCAGCTACCCAGGAAGATGGCTGCAGAGATGCTCATTGCTAGGCTCCCCATATTTCCTAAGCAAGTCTTCCATCCCAGGCAGTGCTGACTGCTCAGTGGAGTCCCTGGGACAAACCGCACATTGGACACGTCTAGTCCCTGGACCAAACCTGATTTGCACGGGGATTAGAAAGGGCTCAGGTCAAGAAGGTATTCAGGGAACTCCCTCCACAAACAGTAAAGGAATACACAAGACAGTCCATGCCACAACCAAGTCCAGCTGGGTGACTTGTTAAATCGCATTATCAACCAACATTTTTCTGAAAAGTTAGGCAACGTGTATTGAGTTACTGAGTTATTGCATTTCAACCAGCCCACTCTTAGTCAGTGTGAGGTGTTAAATCTCTGAATAAAAAGCCGCCACAGAAAAAGGACAATGAAGGTGTCAAGACAGTGATCCTGACTCTGGGATGTCAGCTTTGCCAGCCCCGTGGATTGTCTTCTAATCATCCTCACACAGGCCCTAAAGAAAACAAGAACCCTCGCAACGCCAATTTCCTTTATATATTTTGATTTTATAAATTTATATATCAAAATATATAAAGCAAGTTGTGTATATTTTGATTTTATATATACATTTACATATCAAAAAATAGAAAGAAAATTGTGACTAGTCCAATCCAGTCACTTTAGACAAAAGGGGGCTCAAGGATAGCGAATAGCTTGTGTAAGGACTAAAGCCGAAGTCAGACATCAGGAATTCTTCTTACTTAGTAAATGTTCTCATTTGCTTATCCTTGAGGGAAAGGCTGCAATCCTAAACAGCCCCAGCCTGAGATGAAGTCATGTTTCAGCAACTCTCTCTACGCTTAGTGCTGAGGAGAGCGGGGAGAAGCACTTGTTAATATACGTGGCTACCCAAATGTCGTCTTCCTTTCATAAAGCACGGCCACTTTAAACTCAACACTTTGAGCAGCCCACAGACAGAACAGCACCTGCCTCCTACCAGTCCTGCGGGAGAAATGCTGAGTCAGCAGATGCTGCCCCAGCTAGTGGCCTTCGTCCACCCCAACACAGGGGAAGGCGGCCCCCTTTCCGACACCACCATCCTGACCCAGTCATTTCCCACAGGTGCAGACCATTCGTCTTAGGCAGGCTTTCCAAACAGAGGGGCATTCATCCGTTCCCCCTCCTCCCAGCAATAAAAGGGAACGTGTTAATGAAAGTCAGGAGCTGCCTTGGATCTTTTTCTTTTGCCTCAAAAGATCCCCCTCTATGTGGCAAAGGAAAAGGACTAGAGAGAAGGCTTCGGTTTGTAACTCACAGGTTCCCTCCAGGACTGGCACTCCCAATGCAATTTTGCTGAAATTTTGAAATAGGAGCATTTATCTGTTGTCAGACCTGGCTGGGGGTGGGCGGGCTAGGGTGGGAATAACAGAAAATATACAGGTTAAGAAGAACCTGAAAATTAAATGTTACTCTTTCTTAAAAGGAGAAAATAAAGTTCACTATAAATTATGTCAAACCACTTTTTTCTAAACTTGCCCCACCATGTAGAATGCCGAAGATCTGAATCCCCTTATACAGCTGTGCACTCTGAAAATGTGGGCTGTGCCACCACCCTGATGGAGGCGGTCTCTGTGAAATGTCACCACGCCCCCTAGTTGCTTGGATGAACTGGCCACTTCTTAATCCCCCAACTCTCAGAAGTTCATTCCAGCCTCTCAGCCAACTTCACTGAAGACTTAGTTTCTGGCAATATAAAGAGTTCAGCTATCGTGGGAAAACAGGAGTTGTTTTCATCCAAAGTGTGGCTTCGGGTTTGATCAGCAGGGTAGCCAGCTTACCTGCTACCGTTGGCATTACAATATTTAAGTACAGTATGAAGCAGTGTGAGATGGGCGGTGTGTCTCACTCAACACATGCTGAGCCTCAGGGTCTGGTGTCCAGGGCATGTAGTTAGGGAGCCTTAGGAGCAGACCCATCTGGGTGAGAAACAAGCAGGAGGTTGGAAGAGCTGGTATACTTTTCTTTTTTTTTAAATTTTTTTGTCTTTCAAGACAGGGTTTCTCTGTGTAGCCCTAGCTGCCCTGGAACTTGCTCTGCAGACCAGGCTGGCCTGGAACCCAGAGATCTGCCTGCCTCTGCCTAGAGTTGGTATATTTTAAAGGGGTCATCATGGTGGTATTCCACACAACTTAAGTCAGAAAGTGTTAACAGTTCCACACCCCTCCTTTGTCTTTTCTCGCCCCCTCTTTCTTGAAGACTAGCTAGCTACTCTCACCATTTAAAAAGAACCACACTCGCAGCCTGAAGATGTATGACCTTTCAATCATCATATAAGTGTCAAGAGAACATCTGACCCAGAAGGTAAGAGTGATAGTCCGGGTGAAGGATCTGGTGTTCAATGTTGGGGAAACTGAGTTCTGAAATTCTGGATCCCCTCATGAGTCATCAAATACCCCGAGGCCTGGCTCTTTAAAAGCAGCAAAAGGGGGTACGACTCAATGGTTAAGAACACTTGCTCTGTTTCTCAAGAGTTCGGTTCCCACAACCACCTGTCCCTTCAGCTCTAGGGGAATCTGATTCCCTTCCGGCTGGCACACACACCAAAGCTTTCCTTGGAAAGATGCTTTTAAGGCTACAAAAGACTCTGCAACCAAGAAGGAACTCTCTGAGTACACAGCATCAAAGTTACTACTGCAGGGTACCACAAGAGACGGTTCCTTTAGCCATGACTGAGAAGACTTTCTTGAAGCTGACGGGGGACATTTGGAATAGGAACATGCTAATGACAAAAGAAGACAGGGTGCTGACCCCTGGATTTTACTTTTAATTTAGAACTCGGGAGGGTTCTAGCCTCTTAAGGGCAAACGATTTTGAGAAATTACTGGTTGCCACTTCCAGCAGCCTTGGAGGCAGCTCCTCCAGTTCCCACACTAATCCTGGACATGACATGTGTCATGAGCGCACACAGAGCATGTGTGCTGTCTACGGAACAGGTTGGACAACACCTATACATAGTCTTATATATGAAGGGCATCTGTCCCCAATTCATAGTATGACCTCATTCACTCAGTGACCAATGTAGGGGTTTTTTCTTTCTTGATTTATCCATTCCATTCACTCATTCTTATGATTAAAGGTGGGCTGGGGGGGATAACATCAACAAGGTAGCAACTGGGGCCAGAGAGATGGCTCAGTGGTAAAAGCACCTGTTACCCTTCCAAAGGACCCATGTTCAATTACCAGCACCCACATGGTGGCTCACAACAGTCTTGTAACTCCAGTCCCAGAGAACCTGATGCTTTCTTCTGGCTTCCTTGGGAACCAGGCACAGATGTGGTATATGGACATACATGCAGGCAAAACACCCATACACATAAAAATTTTCAAAACAAAATTTAAAAAGGAGACAAGTGACATTCCACTGGGAGCCAGAATTTTAAGTAAGTGTAGCCCATGTAATAGGAATGGTCCAAGGTCTGTTATGTGTGTTATATATATGATATGTGTGTGTGTGTGTGTATAAACACACATTTCTGTAGTGGCGGCCTGTGTGTAAATTACAGGATTGAGCCTGTGGCTGGCCACTTGTTTTCACAGAGAAAAGTGCACAAGCTTCAGAATTCCAGAAAGGGAGACAGAATCCAGCTGGGTGACCTAGAAACCCACTGTTCACCCGGAATATGTGCAGACTAGGATGTACACAGGAGCTCGAGCCCAGCAGTCTGCTGGTCAGACTTTCTGCAGGTGTTTTCCTCCCTGCTGACATGGGCTTTGTTTGTTTCTTTTCTTTTTCTTTCTGTTTTCAAGTCAGGGTCTCACTATGTAGCTCTGGCTGTCCTGGAACTCACTCTGTAGACCAGTACTGACCTCAAACCCACAGAAATCCACCTGCCTCTGGCTCCTGAGTGCTGGCTGGGGTTAAAGGCATCTGCCCACAATGCCTGGCTCACTTCCACTAAGGCTGTCTGTTGTTAAGGAGCCTTATCCTTTTACCCACAGTCAACAACGCTGGAATCTTTCAAAAGCTGCTGCCTTCAGTATTCTGTAAATTAGGCAAAGCTTGGAAGAACAAATTCATCCAGGGCTGTGCAGAGAAACCCTGTCTGGAACTCCTTCCATCCCCCCACACCCTCAAATGGTACAACTTGACTGCATTACAGTGTATTCCTCTATCAGCACAGGCATTGTTGCTGATGGTAGTCAGGTGTGAGGGTGTCAGTCAACCCAGCCAGAGAGCAGCTTTGCTTTTTTTTTTTTTCCTCCTCTGGTAGTTTGGCCATTAGAAGTCACTTTATTTTTTCATTCTGCATAGGACAGCTAAGGGTTAGTATCCTGACTGACCCTGAGATGTAAAAATCAGCCTTTCTTTTTGCTTCTAAAGTCAATGGTTCTTTGCCCTTCCTAATGCTGTGACCCTTTAATGCAGTTCCTCATGGTGTGGTGACCCCCCAACCAAAAAATTATCTCATTGCTACTTCATAACTGAAATTTTGCTATTGTTACGAACCGTAATTTAAATATCTGATATAGAAACCCCTGTGGGGTTGGGACTCACAGGTTGGGAACTGCTGCTTTAGAGAGCTGTGGCAGGGTGGGGGAAGAGGATCATGGGGGCGGGGTTGTTCTAAGTTGGCAACAGTGTATAAGGTTCCAGAAGCAGCAGTGGAGAAAGCAGTTTCCCTAGAAGACAGCTTCTCCCAGAGAATGGTACCTGATCAGGCTGTTAAGAACTGGACCTGCCAGGCTGGAGAGCCTAGACACTATTGATGGGGAATGTCAGAAGAATGTTTCTGGCCTTCCAAGAAGACAGACATTGAAAATTATGACTAGGAAAGAGGAGAAGAAGCCTGGGAGGGGCACATACTTCCTAAGGAAGCCTCCAAGGGTGGCTTGGGAGAAGAAAGTAAACAAACTAGCAGTAAAGGGAGAATGAACCTAGAGTTTTGAGATCCTATAGCTGGGAGATGGGAGCGCAACTCAGAAGGGACGTGAGGGTCCCAGGGATTCGGTTACTGCAGAAAGCACCGAATTCTGTCACCTCTGCCCTGGCCCCTGCCAATCATCATATTCTTGGACCAACTCACCAAATCACATCAAAATTATGCAGATCTAAAACAACTGTCAGGGAGCTGGAGAGATGGCTCAGTGGTTATGAGCACAGGAGTGGACCAGGGTTCAATTCCCAGCACCCACACAGCAACTCACAACTGTCTGTAACGCCAGTTCCAGAGGATCCTATAGCACCAGGCATGCACGTGGTACACAGATACATGCAGCCAGGCACCCCCCCCACATAAAACAAGTAAATCTTTAAAACAACTGTCAATCTTCCATGAAGTCTAAGACCCTAACCTTCAGTGTCCATACTTCCCAATAAAGCTCCATGCCAACCACTACGTGAGGATTATCGTGGTTCTGGAGAGTCCTTATGAAGCCCTTTGATCACCTGGACAGACAGTGATTTGTACAGTCATTTGGGCTAAAGCTCCCTAGGTGCCCCCCACTGCTAAGTGCCATCTTGCAAGCCACAAACTTGAAGAGCTAATCTGTTTGTTAGCAAGGCCTTAGAGCACAAAGGCCATTCCAGGTTCCTTACTCAAAACTGCTCTGATTCTAAGAGGTTAACACATACAGGTCAACTAAGTGTAATCAAGCACAAATCTGGTGGTACAGAAGCCTGCACACGTCTGGTCTCAGAACACAAATTAGACAGCTTTATGGATATACGCATTTCCATTTATGACGTCCTTAACTTAAAATGAACCCAGAGTGAGCAAAAGCATTGGAATCAAAGTTTGAATTTCCCAATAAACACACACACGACGCTATAATTTCTTCAAAGTTTCCACACACCCCTGTGGCCTACTAGAGACAAAAGTCACTGCTCCCAGAACCCAAGTCGGCTTCATTTGTGGTGGAAGAACAGGCATCACCCAGCTATCAGGAGGATGTTAATGCAGTTTTTCTTTACCAAAAGCACCCCGAACACTAGCCATCGGTGGCATTTGGGCATTTGCCATTGGGTATTTTCCAGGTAAACCTCCACCCAACTTGCCCATTTTTTTCCCAGCTGCTATGTGCCACCAATTGCCAAAACACTATCCAGTTTTTTCCAAGAGGGACTGCGGACCTCTTCGACAGCATCCTAACTTTTCTCTCTCTCTCTCTCTCTCTCTCTCTCTCTCTCTCTCTCTCTCACACACACACACACACACACACACACACACACACACACACACACACACACACACACACATATTCCAGGACAGTAAGAGGCTGCTTAACAAAAGAAGGAAATCCCATGACAAGGCATGGTGCTTTGCCAGAGATTTCTGGAGAGATCTACGCTCGCATGCTGTGGCCTGTGACGAATCACGCAAAGCCATGTCTACCAAGACCATCATTTTCCACAGCGGGAGACACATTTTCTCAAAACTATGTTCCCGTCAATGTCTTACTGATTTTTTTTTTTGTTTGTTTAATCTCTATTTTAGGTCGCGGCCCAAGGAAACAGCGGCCAGACCTGACTCCAATATACACACAGACTCGGGTTTCACCCCGTCACCTGTTGGCTCCAGAACAACATCCCCTTTGTGAAACTTACAGCTCTCGTGAAACGCCGTTTCCCGAGAAAACACTTCCTTAAGTATGCGACAAGACTCCGAGTTGGGAAAACAAACTCCATTCCACACACCGCCTGCTTTATCCGCCTACGGATTAACGTGAGCCTTTCTAGACGGGCTAGGAGGAAGGATGTCACCGTCTTCGGGGACACAGCGGCGGTGAGGGCTGCGGGGGCCACCCAGACCCCCGGAGCAGGCTCGGCCCTGCGCCCAGGCAAGCGGCGGTGGCGGCTCTGGCCGCAAGGGGGAGCCTCGTCCCGGTCTGCCCCGTGTCCCGGCAGCGCCGTGGAGGCCAGCGCCCACGTCCGCGATCGTGTCCCCGCGGTCCTGTCCCCGCTGTCCCTGCCCTGAGCTTGCACCCAGCCAGCGCCGCGCACCTGCACGCCCGGCACCCGGACCCGGTCCCCGCGCACAGGCTCGCAGCGTTCGGTGTCGCTCCGCGCTCCACCCCCAGCTCGGCTCCGGCTGGGGACAGCCGGTCGCGCCGCCTGCTTTCCAGGAACTGTCACACTAACTGTCCCCTGGCAGGTGTCCACCGGGGCCCGCCCGCCCGTACGGCCTTCCTAGGAAAGTTACCCAGACGCGGGAGCACCGCCGCCAGTCGCGCTCCATTCCCCGCCGCCCAGGACTGTGACTCGCGCGCTGCAGAGCTTCTGTAAACTTCCCCCGCCCGCAGGTGCACGCGCGGCCACAGGCGCGGGCCAGTGCGCGAGGGGGCGGTGCTGAGCCTCGAACTCAGGACTCCACACGCTGGGCAGGCACTCCGCCGCCGCGCTACACCCCCAGCCCCACAGGGCTCCCTCTTACACAAATCATCTCCACGCTGTCCATAACAATGCCAGCAAATGGCGCGTTTAACCCAGTTCTCACTCCGAAGGGCTCATTAACATACGAATTCTCTCCGCTTAAGACTTCCTTGCATTTAAATGAAAGCAATTCCTGCGGCTTAGAACCGGAGATTTATTTTACTTTATTTTATTTTATTTTTTTTAGCAGAAAATAACAGCAAAAGCAAAAGGAGTCAGGCACACGCGGCACTTAAGTAACTAGTAAGGGTTTTTAACTATCATCCTTGAACCACAAGAAGACGCCCCACGCACGTTCATGTTAATCTTATTTCTGTGCTATTTTTAGGGGCTCTAAGAAAGGAATTTGGCTTCAGCTGTCTGCAGAAAAGGCTCAGGGAAGCAAAAACTGGACCTCAAAGCGAGCCCAGAAAGCAATGAGAATTGGTAGTGATCATTAGTAAGTAGTGAACAGCGGACGTCCACGATTCTCCTGAGCTACAAGCTTTAATCGGGACAAGAGCCTTATCAGGTGGGGGCAATGCCAGTAAATACACGCACCGCGAAGAGCAACAGTTTCTACTTTAAAACCCAGGATGGCGATTCTGCAGCATATATTTATTTATATGGAGAACAATAGCCTATTGTAGCTGCGATTTAAAAATACACGGGTTGCCATAAATAGATCCATCCCTCCAGTAAATAATTGTGTGGCCAAATTAAATTCTGTTATCTCTGCTGCAGACCGAGGCAGCGGAGGACAAGAAGAGTTTTTTTTTTTTTGCAGCGGAGGACAAGAAGAGTTTTTTTTTTTTTAAGTTGCTACTTTTTTTTTTCTTTTTTTAAGTGACAGAACCCACAAAGTCCTGGCTCTGCTGTTAGTCTAGTTTGGGAACAATAGTTCAGATATCACAAATTATTATTTGCAATTCAAATGGATTCAAGTTTTCCAGATGATTCCCAAAAGAGTACCCCTGCCCGAGGGCACGGGAATTTGTGGGAAACCTCTTTCCCTGTTGATCTGTAAAATTCACCACCGAATCTGATGAGTAGGATTGCTCGCTTTTTTGTGTGATTTTATTTTATTTTATTTTATTTTATTTTCGGACAGGGATTTTCATCTGGTCCAGGCTGGCTTCAGACTTGCTGTGGAACTTAGGCTGCCCTCCCAAAGTGCTGGAATTAGCAGGGTGAGCCACCACACCTGTCTCAGATTTCCCTTTTCCTCCTTCCTTCTGTTTGAGCTCCTCAGGGAAGACCAGAACAAACGTGCGACCGGTTATTGCTTTACATCACACACTAAACTGGCCTGTCAGTAAAATACAACAGATTCTATGCTCCCAGGCTGACCCTGCGGACCAGAACTCTTTCAGGAGGCTAGCGCCACACAGAGTGTTAAGACACAAATACTCCCACTATATCCTGTAGTGAAGCTTTTCGGTATTAAATGTAGCCTCGCCACTGTGGGCAGTTACAAGGTAACTACTTGTAAATATCGTTTGCCACATTTCCAGCAGGTACTGTCAACTTGTCTATTGTGTTCCTGCCAGTGAAGCAGTTTGGGGACAGCGAGAAACTTCCTACTAACTTTCCATCTGAATGAAACAGACTTTGGTCTGTCAACAGTGAATCTATGCAGATAGAGGGCAATGCCCCCAGCTGGTGTCCTTTTGTTTCAGGTAGGTAGAATATTCAGTTGCTTGAAGATCACACTTTAGGGGGGTGAGAAAGGAAACTCAGAAATTCTCAGGGCTTAGCTTCCCACACCCCCAGGGCCCTGAGGGCTTCCTTCCAGCTGACGGTAGCGTCACCCTCCCTCCCCTTTGGCCTCAGGGCACTTAGCACCGCCTGGCACTGGGTGCCTATTTAGTCACCGCGTTATTGTCTTCTGTTCTGGAGTTCACTGCTGTGTTCTCAGCATTGTGCCTGGCACGTATCAGAGCAGTGCAGTGAACCCGACAGAGTGAAGTGAATAAAAGATTCTCGCACGTTCTTCTCAGGTCCATACCTTATCAAGTAACACCGTTTCTAAGCTTAAGCCATTGTCCTGAGGATGGGGTTGTTTTAGGGGAACAAATGTGACAAGGGCAGAGAAACAAAGAGGTAGTATTTTGTCAAATGCCAGCTTATCGAGTCTGGTTGAAAAAGATAAAGTACAGGCTTCAAGGAAACCTTGGTGCCACCTCCCTATGGTGACCTTGAGGTCTCTTTGGAAAAACACTTCCAAAGGGCTGGAGAAGTGGCCCACTGGGTAGTGCTTGTTGTTTAAGCATGAAGACCAGAATTTGGGATCCCTAGCAAGCATGTAAAAAGCCAACTGTGGCCATGCACATCGGGACCTCCGTGCTGGGGACACGCAGGTCCTAGGGGTTCACCAACCAGCCAGTCCGGTTGAGACCACAAGCTCCAGGCCCAGTGAGAGACCCTGTCTCCAAAGCAAGGCAGAAAGTCATAGAGGAATACAAGCAGTGTTCCACTTCTGACCTCCACATGGCCGTGCACAGGTGAGCACATCTACCCACACACCACATGCAAGCATGCACACATGCATACACAGCAGCGAAGCGTAGACTTCCTTCTTGGCTTTAAGGCTGTGTTGCTCTTGACTTCAAAACATTTTAAAGGCATTAAGGATGAAATGCCAGTGACCAGGGCAAGAACGTTCCCGAGCAGAAGTCTTTGAAAACAGCAAACGGGGGCTGCAGTGGTCATCCTGTCTCCGCATCCACCTAACTTTGAGAAGCAGTTAACAAAACAAGTAGGATTTTAGTCTCTGGTAGAGGCATGGCGTAGGACAGTGATTTGCTTTTCACAATGAACAGAGTCCCCAAATCATACATCCTGTAGAATCAGTCACAATTCTTGTCCAGATCAATTAGTCAAACGCTGGAGAAGTAACTGTAGCAAGCTGTCTCATCCTTGCAAGTTGGTACCACATTGTTTCTGTCGTGGCCTGGGAGACCACTGAGCCTTTGCAAGTTCTCAGTCCTGTTAGCTGAGCCTGCTCCACCCCAGGGAAGGGCTGGAAGGCAGGTGGCAAGGTTTTTTTCTGGAGTTAGGGGCGTTTATGGAGGTTTATGATAAGTTTCAGCTTCACAAGGTCTCCAATTACTTTCTTTACCCTTTGATTATATTGAAAGCATCATGATTAGAGAGCACTGGTTCCTCAACAGTTTCTACACCCCATTCCATTGTATTTATGACTCCAAACCTCCCAGCGACCCAGCCCCCGCCCCCACCCCTCCTTCAGCGAGTGGGGCCATCTTCACTTCAAAGTACCCTGGTGCACAGGGGTTTGTCATCAGGGATCTAAACGCCCATTCTCTCCGCAGGTACTTGCCAACACTGGGACAGATCACTTCTCTAAGGTTAGTCTTTGTCATGGTGAGTGGCCCATCTCTAAAATGCCAGTCTCGGGTCAATTTTAAAACTTCTGGGGGTGGAGCACAAACCATTTTTTTTTTCTCCAGGTAAAACAGATCTTTTGACACGGAAACAGACAAAAGTGATGTAGCTCTGAGGAAGTCCGGCCCACTGCTCCCGGCGTGAACAAACCCAGCCATTCTGCTCCGTGCCAAGCTGCCTGCTCCCAGCACTCCATCGGTTCTCCTGGCTTTTGCTATGGTGGTGTTTTTTTAGTCTAAGGGCTTGACTGCTGCTGGTCACCGCTTAGACATTATCACCGCTGAGGGGCTGTTTGAGACTTCGGCACAGCTGGGTGAAGAATACAGACCTGGGGTACTTTCCCGATGGTTGTTCAGGTAACACTAGTGAAAACCAGCAGTCACCATGGCCTGCTCTGCCCTTCACTCCCAACTATTCTCGGGGACTTCTTTTCACACCCGAAGATATGTCGGGCAAACAAACTTGTGTCCAATATAATTAAGAGAGTTGCCACTGATTCTGACCCTCAACCATCTCAGCTACTTTTGGGTCTGGGGTTTATTACAAACATCTTTAAAGTTCACTACTGAAAAATTATCGTCACGCTGGGTGGTGGTGGTGCACACCATTAATGCCGGCACTTGGGAGGCAGAGGCAGGCGGATCTCTGTGAGTTCGAGGCCAGCCTGGTCTACAAGAGCTAGTTCGAGGGCAGGCTCCAAAGCTACAGAGAAACCCTGTCTAGAAATCCCCTCTCTTCAAAAACAAACTACTCATGTGGAGAAATTAAGGAGAAACCTTCCAAAAGTACTGGATGGGCTGTACCCTGGTACAGTATCCAAGATATATCCAGGTATCACGATCACAGTGCTTGACTGAGAACTTACAGCACGCACGCGCACACACACACACACACACACACACACACACACACACACACACACAGCAAAATATTGAGAGAATATAAAGAGCACAATGCTGACAGCCTTTCTTAGGGGAGGGTAGTTCCATTGGTAACTACCATCTTACGCTTATATTTATCAAACAAGCAGGACATCAAGAGAAGATGAAGCGGAGTGACAGTGGGGTGTCAGGATGCTTGCCTGAGCGGCACTGAGGCAGGAATAGCTTTGGACTGAGGTGAGCCATCAAAGGTCGAGGGAGGTGGAGGTACTAGAAAGGGTGTCCAAAGGAAGACCCAGGTGTGGGCGTCTGTGCAGCCCTTCCAGGGCAGGGGGAGCCACAGACGCTTCCACAGAAGAGTAGCTGGCACATATGCCTTCTTGTTAGACAGGGTGACGAGAACAGGGCCAAGAACCCAGAACAGCAAATGGGAAGAGCCAGAAAACTACCACAACAGTCAAGACCAGGGGTGGCAGGGCCTCGCCTGAGGAGGGTGTTCCAGGGGCCAAGGGCTGGACTATAGCTCCCCAGTGCACAGGGTTGGGGTGCAGGGGTAAGAGGTGCCCGACGTGCCTGGCATTCCAAGGTGAGCCAGCACACTCCCATGGCTTTCGAGGGAACTAAAGCTAAGCCCTGATGTGAGCCTCTAGCTTCAAACTGCTACAGGAGAGACGGAACTCAAGGCCAACAGAAGGATTTATGTGTCTAAACTCTAAGTTTCTCTCCATTTAATAATCACCTCTAGCCGGGCTACAGCCTCATGAGAACTGGAAGCCAGACAGGCCGTGGTGGCGCACTCCTTTAATTTCAGCACTCAGGAGGCAGAGGCAGGCGGATCTCTGTGAGATTTAGGCCAGCCTGGTCTATAGAGCGAGTTCCAGGACAGTCAGAGCTGTTACACAGAGAAACCCTGTCTCAAAAAACAAAACAAAACAAATAACCTTTAAAATATAATACTTAGGGGGCTGGAGAGATGGCTCAGAGGTTAAGAGCACTTACTGCTCTTCCAGAGGTCCTGAGTTCAATTCCACATGGTGGCTCGCAACCATCCAAAATGAGATCTGGTGCCTTCTTCTGGTGTGCAGGCATACATGGAATGTTGTACACATAACAAATAAATAAATCTTTAAAAAATATAATACTTTGGCACTGGAGAGACAGCTCAATGGTAAGAGCCCTGGCTGTTCTTGCAGAGGATCCAGGTTCTATTTCTTGCACCTACGTGGCAGCTATCAACCATCTGTAGACCCAGGGGCTCTCCGCATCTCTTCTGACCTCTACGGGCACCAAAAGTGTGTGGTGTACATGCATGCAGGTAAAATACTTATATACATAAAACAAGATGAATTACAATGTTTACATACTACTTCGCTATGAAAGAGATTGGCCCACCCTCTTCAAGGAGTCAGCAGAGTCCATGAAGATTGAGTCCCACGGCAGAGGCTCAAATGGCATTGGGAATGAGAGGGTGTGAGGTGGTGATGGTTGGCATGGTCTGCAATCCAGCCACATTTCAATAAAATGCCCAAGTCACAGCGTTTCCTGACAAACGTGAGTTTACAGGATGTTTGCAGCCTCGGGCCACGCACTACTTGCTCGAGAGAGTTCTGCGCATCATCTGTTCCTGTTTGCTAGTTCAACTCCCATCAGCCAAGAGAGGCGAAAACCCAGGCAGGCTGGATTTGAGCATCGTGACTGGGTGCTGTAGCTAAGCATGTTATTTTCAGAGGGGTCCGGGCAAAGAATTTGGTCAAGCAGCTAAAAGCCTCTTGCCAAGAAGATAAAGGTCAGCCAGGCATTCTATCCATATCTATCTTATCTGTGACCCCACCTGGATGCTTTCTGAGAGTTCACAGTGTTCAGTGAAGACACAATGCTGAAGGGGACTGGGTAACGTGGCTAATGTAGGTGAGGTGCAGAAGTGAGGGAGGCAGCAGGGGACTCTTTTCCTAGAAGGCCGCAAGAGTCACTAAGTTCTGAGGCGGAGTGTAGAAGGATCCTCCAGGAACAACTGCTCAATCCAACCCCCTTGGATGTTGCTTCAGATGCAAGGCTTAAGACTACCCGTAGACCACTAGCAGCTGGGTATGGGCTACACTGAAAGATTTTCCCAGACACAACAGTGAAATGCGAAGCCATAGGAGACCAGTAACCATCTCACAGGGCTTCCAACAGTGACAATAAAGAGCGCCTTGGCGGAGGCAAACATGGCTACGGGTGGAAGGTGTTGGTAGGGAAAGATGGCTGTGTGCGCATTCTTCACGATGCTTATGGCGGAGACACTGTTTGGTGGGTGTTACAGGTGGAGTGTGGGCTGATTGGAAACTTCGGGCGTCATTCACACCCTTGTGGTGAGCTTTGAGGATGGCACAGCATTTTCTTTTCGGGGAACTGAAAAAATGGCTAGGTAAAATGTTTTTATCTTCCCTAACTTTCCCTTAGCAGCAGCACTAGGACATAGAAGAATATTCTAGAAATCCACATGCCAGGTTATTTCCACTGATAAGGAAGCAGCGGCTGTCAGCCTCCTTTAGGGCAGCTCACTGATAATATATGACTGTGCTGACCTGTGGAACCAAACATTTGTGTAGCTCTAAGGCAAATAACACCAGGAACGCCTCCCTGATGGGGGAGATTCCTTGCATTTCTGAAGCTGACTGGCCATTCTGATCTCTGCAGACACACATCGGATTGTCCCAGCACAACACAACTGGCTTACTGAGATCTCTGCATGACAGATGTTCTATGGCCTCTTGGTGACAGCCAGTATCAGTGTGTCCTATGTTTTCACTAAGATATCACTCTTGCATGTAGTCAGTGGCTCACCCATCACCTCCTCAACTCAAAAAGTCAGATCATGTGGGACAAGGGACAGACCTCAAGATCTGTTCCACTGAGACTCTGTATGTATAACCCATTCTGCCACCTCATATGATCTCCCGAAAGTCAAAGACACTGAAATAATGCAGCCATAGAAACTTGTCAGATAAAATTGATTACAGTTCAAGTCATAGGACTATAATACTTTTTTTTAAAAAAATCAACTAACATTCTTCAGTTGAGACAATTAAGAAAGTGCAATAGAATCAATAAGCTGTCTGGAAGGGCCTTTGGGCAGTTCTGGTGACAAGCTGCCCACCATAAATTGACAGTAGACGGGCTTAAATAACAGGAGCCTGTAAGGATGGGAACGTAGGCTCCTGGAGAATCCACGTCCTTCCATATAAACTCTGGCGGGAGTTTAAGACTGATTACAGTGTTGCTGACAGAACAGACTAAGGCACACAGCTATGACCAATCGTTTTTAAGGTCTTTAGTCTCCTCACAGTACGATCTAATAGGATCCTGGGAACCTCTGAAATGCTTTGCCTTGTATAAGAGTGCAGGGTGTTACGATGGGATCCGATGTAGGCTTCAAGTGAATTAGCCAAGTGCTCCACCACTGAGCTACCTCCCCAGCCTTCTACTTTTGGGGAGTGTGTCTGAGAGTAAGGAGCAGTTGAGTGAAGAGTGGAGGCAAAGTCCAGGGTGGTTTTTATGCCTTATGTCATACTGCATTTTAGGATGGAAGGGATACTTTTTGATTTTTTTTTTTTTTTTTCGAAACAGGGTTTCTCTATAACTTTGGAGCCTGTCCTGAAACTAGCTCTTGTAGACCAGGCTGGCCTTGAACTCACACAGATCCACCTCCCAGCTGATGCACGTTTTTCTGGAAGGATCTGACAATATGGTTAAACAGCCTCTTCAGAGGGAGCTACCACTCATGAAATAAAAAATAAAAAAGTCAGGACTGGGAAGAAGCTCAACCGGTAAGGTGCTGCTTTGAAAACATGAGGACCTGAGTTAGGTCCCTGGAGCCCACATTTAAAAAGCAGAATGGGGGTGCCCATACATCGGGATAGTGCAATCAGAGGATTGAGACTCACTGCCTAGCCAGTCCAGCTGGTGGTTTAGCTAGCGGGTCAGTGAGAGCCCTTATCCCAATAAAGCAAGACAGTCAGCAACTGAAGTATACCCATGTTTGACTTCTGACCTCCACAGATATACATGTATATGCATGTGTACCCACTCCCATGTGCATCTATCTGTGTGCAATGAGCATGCATATACATGCATACATTCATGCACAAAAGAAGTAGGTGAATATATGTATTTTTTTTCCTTTAAAGAGGCCAAATAGTCACACAAGCAGCACCAAGAAGTATCTTGGTGCTATTCCAGGATTCTTTAAAATGACACGCATCTGATTCTTACTCCTTTCATGAAGTGCTGTATGGCAGTTTTGTTTGTTTTTGTTTGTTTTGGTCTTTTTGAGACAGGGTTTCTCTGTGTAGCCCTGGCTGTCCTGAACTCGCTTTGTAGACCAGGTTGGCCTTGAACTCAGAGATTTGTCTTCCTCTACCTCCTGAGTACTGGGATTAAAGGTTTATACTACCACCACCTGGCTAGCTGTGCAAAATGCTTTTTAATACAGTCAGGTAAGTGAGAATATAGTATATGTCATTCTGCTTCTGATGCTTCTAAGAGTTCTTGAGGAAAGGAAGCAGGACGACCACATGGATTAACACCTGGGACACTGGAGATATATACTAATAACCTTATGATGGGACTACAAGGCGCAAAGGCATCCTAAATAACCAGACGTGAATTACGTGGACCGTGAGCCCTTTTGGCATCTTGGAGAAGTATCTGCTGCCGCCACTGGCATTGCCGGGAGCAATGAGGAGAAAGCAGGCTGGGTCTGTGCCAAGTTGTCTCTAGTAGCCTTCTGCAGGTGTGGTAGCTACAATGCTCCCTGGAGGTTCTTGGTGGCCGACTTCATTTTACATTTGGCTATTATTACTGTTGTGCGTGCCTGGGCATCTTCCTGCGTGCATGTCTATGCACTGCACCATAGGCCGCCAGCGCTCACAGAGGTCAAAGAAGGGTGCAGAATCCCCGATCCTGCAGTTCCAGTCAATTGGGAGCCGCCATGTGGGTGCTGAGAATCAAACTTGGCTCCTCTGGAAGAGCAGCCAGTGCTCTAACCACTGAGCAACCACAGCAGCCCCTGTGTCTTATTTTCCTAGAGTAGCCGAGGGGCCAGCAGTTAATGCAGAGGAAGGCCTGGGAATCACAGATAGTTACGGTTTTTGTTTTCTGTCTTTTCTTTTCTTTTCTTTTTTTGTCTTTTAAAATGGTTTTATGCTGGGAGGTGGTGCAGGCCTTTAATCCGAGCACTCAGGAAGCTGAGTTCAAGGCCAGCCTGGTCTATGGCGCTAGCGTCAGGACAGGATCCAAAGCTACAGAGAAATTCTGTCTCGGAAAACCAAGAAAAAAAAAAGATAATTTTTTTTCAGGATGGTTCTCAAAGGGAAAAGCTGAGATCTGCTTAACTGGGGTATGCCTTAGGTGTGACTTTTAAAAATGACTTATTTTTCTCTTCTCTACTCCCAACTACCAAGGACCCACACTTTATACTGGAATGTGCTTTTCTGGAGGGGTTCAGCTGTCTCTCCTCGCTGTGTCCTTCCTTCCCTGCGGGACCTTTCTTTAGAGAGCTTTTGGATTCAGCCTCCACAGCTTCCTAATGCAAGCCAGGCTAAGGAGACTTAGCAGACACACAAACCACATGTTGCTTTGCTTTGCTTTTCTGAAGCAAAATCCAGTTTGGATGAAGACTGTGTGGGCTTCGCAGTTACACTGAAATTAAAGATGGCGGGAAGGGTTCTCATCCTCGGGACTGGCCATCTTGTAGTACTTTAAAGTATAAATTGAAACATATGATCATAATGAACTCTGATTCTACTCAACAGCAAACAAAAGAGGTGAAATCCGTGGATAATGGTAAGCTAAATTAATTTTGACTTATGGGGCAATCTGAACATTTTCACCTAGGCCAAAGATAAGAGCCACAATAAAAATTCATTTCAAGCATTCCCACGTGAAATCAGCACAGTCTAAGCCAGGGATTAACAATCTGTACCTGGACTCCTGCAGACCTGCATAAACCATTCCCAACTTTTATGGCTCAATTCAGCTGTCAAAGAGAAGGGCCTGCTGGCAACACCTCACACCTGTTACTTATCTTG